TTTAGTTTCCATACTATTTGACTTAAATATTTCATTACTTCATTGTTATTTTTATCAGTTTGCTTTTGATTTTCTTTTCTTTGTTTTTTTCAATTTTGTTGTTCATTGTTTTTGTATATTTCCTTTTCCTTGTTACTTATCATTTTTGTTTACATTTCACTTTTTTTTTTCTTATTAGTATTTGTTTCTTGTTTTTGTTAGAAATTGTCTACTCTTTCATTAAGTTGTTCTATATTTTTTTCTATTCGATTTAATCTGTTATTTATATTTTTTAACATTTGCATCATTCTTGTTTCATTTGTGCCATTGTTTTTTTGTTAATATTCATATTGCTGTTGTTGCTCATTTTGATATATTCTTCTTTTTACTACTTCTGCATATGTATTTTTTTTATCTGTATATTTGTTTGTTAGTGTGTTATATATTTTTGATTAATATTTTTTATATGTTTGATTAAATCTTTGATAGTTTTATTTTTGTCTGAATTCCTTTTCTTTATTTTCTTTTGCTATTGGACAGTTCAAAACTAAGTGTTCTGTTAATCTACATTGATAACATGTTTTTTGATCTGCAGTAATAATTTTGATCATGTGTTGGTCTACTCTATATCCCTTATCTATTGTTTTCTTAATAATTTCTTGTGACTTGAAATTTAATATTGTTATTTCTTTTCTATTTTTATTTCTTATCACTGACATATAATAGGTTTGTACTCCTATTTGTTTCATTATTGTAAATAATTCTACAAGTGTCATTGTTAGTAGTACATCTATTACTTTTGCTACATAACCTGTTTCTTTTAATTTTAGTAAATCTGTATACTTGATTTCAGAAGTTGTTACATATTTACATGTATATTTATCTCCTACTATTTGAAATTTTTATTTCAAAATTTCTTCTGCAATTTCTTATAATTCAAATTGAATTCAGAATGTATAGTATAACCCATTTAATCTTGTTGAGTTTGATATTATTTTGCAAATTTATTTTTTATCATTTGTAAAATACTGTTTTGTTTATTTTTATTGGTATGTTCTAAAATTTAACTACTAAATCTGTTATTATATATTTATTTTTTTCCTTTAATGGTGCTTGTGTCATTTTAACTGTTTTATTTTGTTCATTTGTTTGGATTTCTATTTGTAAAACTTTTTGAAGATCTTCTTCTGTTTCAAAAGTTTTAGTCAAGTGTATCCCCTTTTCATTGGGATTTTTTTTTTATGATAAATTTATCCAATTCACTTATTCATTAAATTTCTTTAATAAAAATATTGTTTTCTCTTTTATATTTTGTCCTTTAATATTACTAATTTTTATCCATACTTTATATCTTTTAGTATTAGTTTCTATTCTTCACTTTTCATATTCTGATAAATTTGAGTTAATTGATATTATTGAGTTATTATCTTCTATATTATTTTTTTTGTTATTTTTTTTCTTTTCTTTACCTTTGCCTTTGTCTTTTGTTTTTTCATTTTGATTTTTGTCTTCTTCCTTTTCTTTTCCTTTGTTTATTGTAATAAATCCTTTGAATTGGTATTGTTTCTTGTTCTTTATTTTTTCCTTTTTCTAAAATTTTTATTGTTTGATTATTAGGTTGTACTTTTTCAATTGTTATCTTTTTTGTTATGTTAATTTTTTTTTTTCATTTTTTTGTTGATATTCTTGTTCTGGTGTTACTTCTTTTGATTAAATTATTTTCATATCTTGTTTCATGTCTTTCTGAAAAGTTTTTATACTTGAATTTGATAAGCTTACTTCTATTATCAGGTCTTCTTCCATGGGTACTGTTGCATTCTTATATTGCATTCTTTTTTTTTTTTTAATTTTACCATTTCTATAATACTTATTACCATTTCCAATATGTTGTTCTTATTTTTATTTTTTTTATCTGTCATATTTGTTGATCTTTTTTTGCTTTTATTTTTTTTTTAAAAATAAAAAAAAAAACTCTATTAATTTTTTTTTTTTACTGTGGATTTTTTTTTGTTTTTGCAGAAAAGGAAAAAGAATTTTTTTTTTTTTTATGAACAAACAATTTATAATTTTCTTTAAATTGTAAAACGATTGACAATAATATAATTTATGAATTTTTTGCTAATATGTTTTATAATTTCAAATGCCAATTATAACACAATGAATTAATTAAATTATATAAATTTTTTTTAAAAAAATTTTCTTATTTAGAGCTATCATATGATATTTGTTTGTTAAAATTGGATACTTAATTGTACAGTAATTTTGAATTAAATAAAATTATTTAAAAATATCAAATCAAATTAATGATTGTAATATCAATCGATTTTAATGAATATTTATTATAAATACTAACTATTTTATAGAAACTTGTAGCTAAAAACATATTCTAAACTTTAATTATAAGTATATCTAATATTTTTTATTGAAAATTTTGACTTTACTTAGACATAACTTTAAATATTTATTTTTATTTAATAAATTTAATTATTTTATTACAAATTTTATTTTAATTGATTAATATTTTGTTGGATTTCCATGACTGCTTGAACTCTTCTAGGCATACTATCTACCAAATTTTCTAAAATTACAGGTTCAATTTTATACCATTTTTCTTCTAAAATAGCTATTAATTCAATAAGATTTTTTTGAATTTACAAATTTTCCTTTTCAAAACATTCCATAAATACTCAATTGGATTGAGATCTGGAGACTGTGCTGACCAAGGAATATTTTTTACTACATATTGAACAGGTGCATTATCATCTTGGAAATCATATTCTAAGTTATTACCTATTTCATTAATAGATGATTCTCCAAAACTTCTATATATATAAAACCTGTTATTTTATCAGAAACTTGAATTAAATGATCAATTTTATTTTTATTAAAACATCACCATGCCATTATACCTTGATTTTCAAATTTAATAGTTGGAATTAAACAATTTGCATCATATTTTTCATGTAGACGACACCAAACTCAATGATGTGAATCATTTTAAAATAATAAAAATCTTAATTCATCACTTCAAATTATTTTATCCCAATTTTTTCTAGTTTGACACCATTCTAATCTTTTTTACTTACTTCTGAAGGTTTTCTTTTTCCTGCACATCCAAAAAAACCTTCATTATGTAATGCATGCCAAATAGTATAAGAACTCACTGAAACTATTGATAAATCATTAAATTTTTCAGTTATTTCATTTAAAGATTGTTGTCAATTTTCTTTTACGATCTTTACAAGTTCTCTAATATTTCTTTTGGACAATTTAGGAGGTCTACCTGATGAAATTTGGTTGTCTTTTCTGTATCTTTCAATAGTGATTTTAAGAAAATCAAGAATACTTGAAATATTACACTTATTATAGTCACATTTCCAAAGACCAATAATTTCACCATGTTCAAATTCTGTAAGTTCACAAGTTTTAGGCATTGAAAATTTTTTAATGAAAATAAGTCTTTAACTATATATAAAAAAAATTTTGATTGATATTAATATACTATATTTTGAAAAATTATAATTATTATGCATTTAAATAAAAAAGTTCAAAAATTGATGTCAATCATTTGTATATATAAAGCTTTATTAATTACTGATAAAGTAACAATAATTATTATAATAAAACTAATTTTTTTAGATATATTAAAAAATAAAGTCATCTTAATAATTATAGATATTTAAAGTTATGTCTAAGTAAAGTCAATTTTTCAATAAAAAATATCAGATATGCTTATAATTAAAGTTGTAGATTATATTCTTAGCTACGCGTTTCTATGAGATAGTTAGTATCTATAATAAATATTCATTGAAATCGATTGACATTACGATCATTAATTTGATTTGATATTTTAAATAATTTTTATTTAATTCAAAATTACTGCACAATTAAGTATCCAATTTTAACAAACAAGATATTATATGATAGCTCTAAATAAGAGATTTTTTTAAAAAAAAATTTTATACAATTTAATTAATTCATTGTGTCATAATTGGCGTTTGAAATTATGAAACATATTAGCAAAAAATTCATGATGATCTTGAAATCATATCATTGTCGATCATTTTACAATTTAGAGAAAATTATAAATTGTTCGCTCATACAAAAGTTCAGTTTTGATGAAGGAAATGTTAAATGTAATACTAAGTGAACTCAAAGAGAACATTATTGCGCATCTACTGTAAAACGTTTAGACCTATATCGTTAGAATTGATTGAATAATTAACGTTTAAGCTTAAAAACGTTTTCTTTAATTACTTTATCAATTATAATGATACAGGCCTGAAACTCTTATAGTAGATGCGCAATGATGTTTTCTTTGAGTTCATTTAGTAATATATTTAATATTTTCTTTGTCACAAATGAACTTTTATATGAGCGAACTATTTATAATTTTTTTTAAATAGTAAAATGATCAACGGGAAATTTTGATCGTTTTAGATGTGTCTAAGTAAAGTAAAAATTTGTACCAGAAAACATCAAATATTTTACTAATTAAAGTTGTAGAATATATTATTAGCTACAAATTCATATAAGATACTTTATAGTTACGATTAATATCCATTGAGATCGATAAATGTTAATTTTATAGTTACAAAATTCGATTTTTTGTTGATGTTATTTGAATCAAAATTTCTTGACGACTATACATCCAAAATTAGTAATTAAGATATCATATGAAAGCCCAAAACCAGGGAAATTAAATAAAAAAAAGTTGCCTCATTTTTATATGTTAGATCACAAAATTATTAACGGATAAAATTAACTTTATAATTGATAATTTTTAAGTGGTCGGATACTTTTGCTAGGTGAGTGTTCATTATCTTATATTTTATATTTGAGTAAAATGCTTAATACAGTATAAATCATATGATTATTTTGTTTTTCACGTGCTAAAGAACGTTAATATAAAAAATTGGATTTTTTTTTTGGGTTTTTAAGTGATTTTTGATTTAACTGGAACTCTTTAATTAAAGTTTAAATGTTATTTTTTTAAAATATATTTTTAAATAAAATAAAATATGCCACGTAAAACAACAAACGCGAACCCATCAAAACCTATGAATATGACTAATGCTAGTTTATTAAAATTCTTTTCGCCGATTCAGAAAGAACCTAAAAAAGAGGCGAAAGGTATAAAATTATAAGTGAAAAAAAAATATGAGAAAAATGACTTCTTATTTTTCAACATTGTAAATAATATAATAATAAAAAAATAATAATAATAAAAATGTAATAATGTGATAATTTATTTTAACATACTTTAACATATTTTAACATATTTTAAACATATTGTCAAACAGTTACGCACAGTGATCCCAAACTTGCCTCTTTTTACACGTACTTTTTACCTTTTAATGTAAAAAAAACTATGACATTGGCACCAACAAATAGATTTCAACATCCAGTATCACCGAATTTCGATGAATGTTTGTTTGATACCAAGCAAAATAATAATTATAATTCTATTTCAACTGCTTCGGATATTATTATTACTTCTTCTGAACTCGGCGACACCACCACCACCACCACCACCACCAATAATATCAATAGCAAAAATAGCAATAACAGTAACAACAGCGATATTAACAATGACAACAATATTATCACCACAATACCTCAAAAAACGGAAGAATCAGAAAAATATATTAAAGAATTTTTATCAAAGATGCGTTCGGAATTACTTAAAAAACGTGGAATAAAAAATGTCGTATCAATTAAAAAATTGATGCAACAATCTCAACCATCCGTATTGACAAAAAAGGAAAGTTTCGTAGTTGCCTTGGAAACGATGGATATCGATGACGACGAAATTGATGATAATAGTTATATGAATTGTGATGACGATAATAATGATGATGATAATAATAATAATAATAATAATAATAATGATAATTATAATGATGAAAATAATTATAATAGTAATAATAGTATTAATAGTAATAGTATTAATAGTAATAATAGTAATAGTAGATCAGATGAGATGTCAATAATGGATGATTTGGTTGATACATTGAATTTATTAAAGGAAAAGGGTAAAATTTGGATGAAATTATTACAATTTTGTGATAATTGTCGACCTGCATATTATGGTACAATATAAGGATTATTTTTCTATTTATAATTCTTCTTTTTCTTTCTAGATTTTTATAATATGAACATACTTTTTTTTTAAAAAAAAAATAGGCACGTGGACAAAGGCTAGTCAAAAGATTTCACCACGAAATCCATTTGTTAAAGATACTGATATTTTAAATTATGATTACGATAGCGATGTAGAATGGGAGGAAGATGAAGAAGGTGACGAATGTAAAAGTGATGAAGAGGAAAAAGAAGAGAAGGATGCGGAAGATGAAGATTCCCAGGTACTTTTTTATTTTCTTTTATTTATATAATTTACAAATATTTATTTGAATATTTAACTTGTAAATATTTATATTAGGACGATGACTGGATCGTGCCTAATGGATATCTTTCTGAAGACGAACGAATGTTAGATTCGGATGGATCCGTTTTATCTTCGTCATCATTGCCTGGTGAGTTTTAATAGAATTAATAGAACTCATGAAATTCAAAGAATTAATAGTATTAATGGAATTTCAATACAAATTTTTAGTCAAATCTGTCGGAAATGAAAAAAATGAAAATAAGGTATTTGTTTTTCCATGTTTATATAATTATAATATAATCATTATTTATCATCATATTTTTTTAATTTAGCCAAAAATATTTGAAATATTACGTCCTATCGTGATTGGACCAATCTTTGAAGAATATCTTGGTGACAATAGTCATCATCAATTGGTTGAATACAGTGCAAAATTATTAAATGGTAATCATAATTTTTAATTTTAATTATTATAACATAAATATTTAATTTCTAATAAATATTTTTAATATATATATATATTTATTTATTTATTTATTAAAGTGGATATTTCTACATCTTATAATGTCTTTACGAAACCACCATCGATACAACATAATCATTCCACAACCAAGTCTACCGGACAGAATAAACGAAAAATCAAAGATCAATCATCTACTTCATCATCTTCTGGTAATCATCATCAACAACAGCAGCAGCAGCAGCAGCAGCAACAACAACAACAACAACAACGAGATATTAATAGTAATACTGGTCGTAATACTAAAATTGAAATCGAAGAACCAACGCCAACAATGAATTATAAATTTATTAATGAGATGATAATATAATAAATATCATAAATACCATTTTACCTATTTTGAAATAATAATAATACAAAGTAATAATAATAATAATAATAACAAAAGTAGTATTCTTTTATTCTGGTTTTGTATCATTATTTAAAATTCAATCTGATAAATGGTTACACAAAGTATTTGTCATCCGACCAGTAGTTTAAATTTATTACTATAGTATTCTAATGTATAAATTTGATTTTATCGGTATTTGCCTAATTAGCTCGAATCCTTGTTTTAAAATTTTTAATGTTCACAAATAAGTCAATGGCGAAGTATCGTATAATAAATACTTACCTTGAAATCCCAAATGAGAGAACATGCCTTAGGTGCTCTTCATAAAAATTGGTACAAATGACTTATACTGTAAAACATTACAGGTGTTTTATGCATTTGCCATAAGTTTAACAAAAAAAAAATAGCAACTTGTCATAAGTGTGTAATGAAAAAACTCTTAACTTCGAAAAAGTTTCTACTCCAAAATTGCTTATCGATTTTATCATATAAGAATGCCCATTTGCTACATTATTAATATTCTATTTGGAAATAAACCATATAAAATGTTTGATGGAAAAAAGGGTGAAGCAAGATATATACGTAACGATGATTTAGTTTTGATCAGATCAGACATCAAATCAAAGAACCTAAATATAGATATCTTCGAGATTGTTATAAAATAATTGCAAATAGTCCTAAACCATATCACGAAGATATTACATTTCGAGTAATAAAACCTGATAAAATACCAATGGTTGATGATTTTTTTCCCGAAAGAGGGAGTTCAAAGATGTATGTGCTGAACCTAAAAAAAAAACAAGAAAAAATCGCTCGTTATATTACTAAGGGTCGTCATAATAATATTGGCAATATTTACATACACAATCCTTCTTTGACTGTTCAAAACTAATAAGAAAAATCTGAACTATATTGTACTTTTTAATGGAAGTGGCACTTATGACGAGCTAGTTAACATTGCTCGACGATATACAAAAAAATGGTGTAATGTTGTTAATATGCTTGATAAAAATTTACAAGGTCGAGAATTTATTGTAATTGATTTAACCAGGACAAAAGAGGATCGTCTATACATAAGGAAAGGTTGGGATATGCCATTGGCATTAGGAAATGAAAATTCGGCATATAGAACACTAAATAATAATTTATTTTTTTCTTTATTTTTTTTACAAATAAAATATTTAATACATCCTATCCACCACTTATTTTAGCTGATCGTATCCAGTCAATTTGAAATCGCAGTGGATGTAGGCTCAAACTTACATTGCTTTGTAATAAAAATAGTTTGACTAGCCAAGTTCGAAATAATAAAGTTGGTGTAAGTAAAACTCAAGAACATATCACATAGGGGGTTTTTGTATCCCGTAAAATAAGTTATAGTGTAATAAACAGTAGTGGCCATAAGTACCCAACTTCCCTTAATTTCCCTCATGGATAAGTATATTTAATAAAATTTTTTTATTAAAAAGTACATTACTAACAATGATAATTAATATATTGTATAGTCTCCATTCAAATCTATAAGTGCTAATACATGATGTCTCATACTATTTACCAATTTTTTAGCAAGATTGGATGAGAGATGGTGCCATTCCTTTACTAATTCTTCCTTTAAACTTTTAGCTGTTCAAATTTTTTTTTTTGCTATGTTTATTTTCATTAACCTCCCAACATTCTCTATAGGATTTTGATCTGGTGACATTGACAACCAGGGAAGTATCTTAATTTTCTTTTTTGCCTTCCATTTTGCACAAATTTTTGACCAGTGCTTGGAATCATTGTCTTCTTGAAGAAACCAGTCTAAGTTATTTCCACCAAAAAATTAAGAGGCAAAAGGTAAAAGTCCCTTCTCATATACTTTGTGTATAAAATTGACATTAAGGTTTCTTTGAAAATATACCAATTTACCAAATCCCAAAATTGAAAAACATCCCCATACATGGACTTTTTGTGGATGCTTGATGGTACAAAATATTTTTTTCCTCCTAACAAATTGTTAAATCTTTTTTTTTTTTTGTAAAAATAGTTGAAAGGTGCTTTTGTCTATAAAAATAACTTGATTTCAGTTAAAGTCTTGATGTTCCTTTGTCCACTGTAGCCATTTTTCTTAGTGGTTTTTTATAAGTAAAGGTTTTGAAATTTCATTAATGTATTTACCTCTAGCTTTATGAAGGTGTCACCTTACAGTTCTTATACTAACCTCAGTACCATGTTTACAACAGTAAATATAGGATGCTATTTTTGCAAAACCTCATTTCAGTCCTATTGGATATTTATGTAAAAAAATTATTTCATATCATTTTTTTAAGAAAAAATTTTATTTTTGTGGTGTAACATCAGATAGGCATTCAAAAATATCATATGATCTTGTAAAAATACTGGTGATCAAGTGTCATGTTACACTTTATATCTGAAAAATTTGAGTTTTTATAACTTTATCAGGAAATTTTAATAAACAAAAAATTATACAAATTTTCACTTCACAAATTTTTGTAAATTTCCAACACCTTTGAAAATTTGTGCAAAAAAATTTTACAAAATTTTACAGTATTTCACAATATTTCACAAAAATTTTCACAATATTTTATAATATTTCACAATATTTTTATAATATTTCACAAAAATTTCTACAATATTTTTCAATATTTCATAAAAATTTCTATAATGTTTTTGCTAAATTTATAAAATTTGCATTTAGATATAAGCAATTTTTACATTTTATAATTTATTAATAATTATTATTTCATTGTGATATTTCAAATATTACTATTATTTTATTTATATTGATTTTAATATTTTCAAAATATATAAATATTTAAAAATTAATTTTTTATTATTCTTCTTTACTTTCATCAATATTTATTATTTCATTATGATATTCGTTACCTTTGTCAGCTTTGTTACCTTTGTTAGTTTTACCACCTTTGTCAGCTTTGTTATTATCACTATTATTTTCTTTATTTTTTCTTATGGATCTTATTTTTTTATTTTTTATTTGTGAGATTTCAGTTTTAATAATTTTTTTATTTCTTCTGGAAACTACTGATCTTTTGGAAACTGCTAATTTTTTGAAAGCTACTAGCTTTTTAGAAACTTCTTCTAGCCTTTCAGAAAAGTCAGATTTGTATTCAAAAATTTCATTATTTTTAATTTTATTCCATTTTTTTAAAGTTTCATTAGTTTTCGAAAATTTAAAAATCTGATATAATATAGAATTTACTTACTAGGTTTTTTAAAAAAACTGGTTTTATTATTTCCTCAGATATTTTAATATTTTCATTATTTGAGTTAAGGACAATTTCTACAATAAAAATTATTCAAGTAATTTGTAGATTTGAAATTTTTTTTTTTTTTAGACCAGACATTTTTAATTATTCAAGTTATATAAGTATCTTTTTCGTCTTCTTCAACTTTATCAAATAATTTTTGAAAACTGTTTGAAATAGTAAAGTTCTTTTTCCATGTACTAATTTTTGTGACTTTTGCTATGATGCTTATAGAAGGTACTTTACAAACTTCAAAAATTGATATTTTTACTTGTATACACAAAGTACTTTACAAGGTTTGTTAATTATAAATTTTTTAAAAAATTAATTACAAAACTTCTTAAAATGCTGATTTATTATTTTACTTATATCAACTTATATATTTTATAATAGAATGGATCCTATTTATAACTTAAGGAAGAAAAAAAAATATTATCAGATTCTTCCATAAAAGTTTTTGCTATTTCTTTAAATTAATTATAGTTTGAATATATTATCTTCTCCAAAAAATCTTGAGCTGATTTCAATATTACAGATTATTTATAAAACATTGTTAATATTATGAATATTTACAAAATATTTAAAATTCAATATCTTTACTAATATCAACACGATCTTGATCATATAAGAGTATTACTACTTCTTTTTTAATTAACTTTATATTATCTTGTATTTTTTCTTGGTTTTTTATAATTTTTTTTAATATTTTTTGTAAATTGTCAAATTTACTAAAAATTCTTTTCATCATGACTTGTAACATAAAAAAATTTAATTATTTTAGTTTTTCTTTGAAATAATTAAATATTAATATTATTTTACTATCATTATTTCTTGAAGTTAAATTAGTTAAATCAATTAAATCAGAATTTTCCAATTCTAATGTGAAATGTGAAGACAAAAAAGATAAAAAAGAGAAAGACGAATGGAGATATAAGTTAAAGTATAAAAAATATTGTTTTTTTTTAACAATTGATTAAGATTATTTATCCTTTATAATAATAAATAATAATAAATAAAATATTTAAACTATGTCAATTTTCACAATATATTATTTATTATAATTTTTTTTTGTAATATTTTATTTCAAGTATTCATACCTTAACTTGTAATATTATAAAATATAAAAAAAAAAAATTAAAAAAATTGAAATAAAAATATCTATAAAGTTATGAAAAATAAAACAAAAAAAATAGAATAAAATAGTAATGTTATGAAAAATTAAAATAAAAAAAAATTAAAAAAATTGAAATAAAAATATTTGTAATGTTACAGAAAATAAAAGGTAAAAAAAATCAAAATAAAAATACTCGTAATGTTATGAAAAAAAAATAATTGATGTGAAGAAAAAGGTTTGTAAAATATTCTAAAAATAAATAAAAATAAAAAATAAATAGAAGTATATAAGTTTTGAAAAAGTTCAAAAAGTTTGAAAGAATATAACTTATAATAAAAAGAGGTAGAAGGAGTGAGGTGGAGGAGTATGGTATTATTATAAATAAACTAAATAAACAAGATAAACAGGATTATTTTTGTGTTACATTTATATAAATCAAGTTCAATAAATATAAATAAATATAATAAATATATTATGAAAAATCACATATGATATAATGATATGTTGTATATATTCAAAAAATTACATTTATTTTATAAATATATTTTTTATAATATTCTTTTTGATATCACAGAATATAATGTAAGCAATTACAAAATAAAGAGAAACATTTAAAAAATTTTTTAATTGCTGAAAAAATACTTTCTTTAATTTTGTATTTTTATAATAGGTAAAAAAACAAAAAATGTTTGAATTTATTTTACAGATATGGTATTATATAAGAAGATATTCTTTTTATATCACAGAATATAATATAGAAAATTGTAAAACAAAATTGTTAGAAAAAGATAAAAATACTAATAAAATATAGATTTGAAAATTTGAAAAAGATATTTAAGTACCATAAAACAAAATAAAATTATAAAACAATTTTGATTTTCTTCAAAAAATTAAAAATTAAAATATTAACCAATTTGAAATAACTTTAACATTTTTAATACTTTATTATAAATAATGTCTATAAACTTTCAATATGAATATTGTAATTGTTATTATACATCTCAGAATGCATATACTTAACATATTAGAAGATGTATTAAAACTGTTATTTGTTTAAGTACGGAAGAATTCAATGAGAATATTTTGAGTATGGTTTCAAGTATTAACAAAATGCTATTAGATAACGAAAACTTTAGTTATATAGATGAATTTCAAATTATTCAAGAAAACTTACTATCAGTATCTAAAGTTTCTTATAAATTTGAGAATGATCAGGATTATGAAAGTGATACTTCTTTTAATGGAAGATCAAGTAATATAGAAGAGTATGAAAACTTCAATGAAATTTTATTCGCAAGTTTACAAAGTTGTGAAAATTTCTTATTCACAAGTTTATGAAATTATAACAAGCCTGAAGAAGAGTTCAAAGAAGAGTCTGAAGTTGAAAACATTAGAGAATTTCAATAATACATATGCAGATTTAATGACACTTGTTATAAAAAATAATTTTAGTAATAAAATTGGAAATGCAATTATAAAATTCTTTCAATTATTACATTTTCCAAAAAATTTTGAAACCGGATAAAAGTTTATGAATAAAATGAATATTTCACAATTGTCTTATTCTAAATATTATATATTTATTTATAATGGTCAAAAATACTTTATTCATTATCATCCTATTAAAAACTATATTGAAAACTTTTTGTCAAATCCTGAAATATCAGAATATTTTATATTTAAATATAAAAATTCAGAGATAAATATTTGTATTAGAAAACTTATTAATATAATTTGAGAAATTTTTAAACTTGTTATTATTTATTACACAATTAAAGAGGAAAAATTATATAGTGAACAAAATTTTGAAAATTGATAGAAATATGCAAAAGAATTAATTTCATTTTTGACATTTATTTTGTCAATTATTCTTTATTCAGATATCACTATTACCAACACATTAGAAAAGAATTTGTTATATCTTATATATATATCTTTTGAAAATATTTTTATGTAAAAAAGAAACTAGAAAGATACAAAACAATTGTTAAGATACTTTCTAATTTTATCTGTCAAAAATAAAACAGAAAAGAAATTTTTCAATTTTAAGAAATTGGCTTGTAAAATTTTTCATGATTCTATAAATTTTTATTAGATCCATTATTCGAAAATAATGGTGTTGAATTTAATAATATTTGATTTTATTCAAGAATATTTACTATAATCTGTAATTGACTTAAAACCTGTACTTTTTCACTAACTTATAAATCAATCAATTCAAATTATTTTTCTAGTTCAAAAAG